TCTGTGAAATTTTGCCAGCCCTGACGAATGTTTTTCCCTTTGTTCTGAGGAAATTTGAGGAAAATACAGACAGAAGACCTATGGAATCAGTAAGCAAATGAATCTTTCTTTCAGCCACTTTCAATTAAAAAAAAAAAGAACAAAAATCCCCTTTCTTTTCAGAGGTGTAACTATGCAGTTGGGCACCTGGGGCAGCTGACACACAGGAGCAGCAATGATTTCTTGTTAGCATTGGTGTAATTGTGCAGCTGCAGTTGTTTTTATCTGTGCCCCTCCCAAGTCAGCATCTGTGGCAGCTGCTCTCATCACCCTGACCTAGTTCTGCTGTTGTTCCCTTCCTTCTGGAGAGCTTGTATTTTCAGCACAGATTTTACATCCCATTCAGGTCTCTCTGCCTTAAGTCTATGCTGAGGACCAAACCAGGAGAGAATGTTTCTTTATTGGACTCAATCAATAGTCTGATTCTTGTGGAAATGACCTTCAATAGTTTTGGTTTTCAGGCTATAAGCCCCTTAATGGCTTCTGCTCCCATGCAATTTAGAGGTCCTAGACAAGTTCCTGGCCCATTCTCTAGCTCACTTGTACCATACAGATGACACTGAATGGCTATAAAGCTTCTGTAACTGTGCTGCTAAGGACTTCCTCAGTGGATGGAAGCCTGGCCTTGTTTCTCCCATGCATCCTTAAAAAAAAGCTAGCATTGGGCACATGCCAGCTTATGGTTAGGGAACAGAACATAAAGTACTGACCCCTACACAACTTGCTGGTAATTCCCAGTTGATGTAAAGGCCTATGATAATATATGGCAAAGCTGCTCCATCTCACCCTCTGGACTACCACTGACCCAGGGAATTTGTGGGTGTAGCTAGTGGTAGGCATGGCCTGCCACAGAATCCAGGTCCCTGGGGCCCCACTGAACATAGCCACTGGCAGCAAATAGGTAAGCAAAGGCTGTGCAATATGGCGGTTGGTCACCCTGTGCCTACCTAACCCCCTGCCAATTGTGTGCCTTTGCAAGTGATGAATTTCAATATCCTCCACGTAGTAGTAGGGTTGGAGGGTTGTTGCAGCTATGATTGTCCAGGTTGCTACAACAGCCCTCCAACCCTACTACAACATGGAGGATATCAAAATCCACCATTTACAATGGAAAATTCACAACATGAAGAGAAAAATACAGTTGGTCCAATAAAATACATCACAAAACAATCCTTGCCTTGCTTTGAAAGCATTTTAATAAGTTGTACACTGAAAGGGCCAATGCTGTATGCTTGTGCTTCCATGCTGATTGGAGTGATTTTGGGGGCAAAGCCAGTCTTAAAACAGTGCTGAGTGGTCAGGGTCTGGTTCCAACCCTACAATCATGCCAGCCATAGCTGCCTCCCCTCCCTGGATTTGTCTCTTGACCTGCTATCTTCTTGCCCTCTTTTCCCCGCCCACCCCTAGAAATGGCTTTCTAAACTCTAACTTGCATCTGATCATAAGCTGTTTTGTTATTCAGCATACAAGCATTTTCTGTGAGAAGCTGATACACGTTCTGGCATGTTGATATTCTGTATTGTAGTAAATCTAAAATCAGTTTCTCTGTCATTTCTATTAATTATCACCCATTTTCCAAAGGCAAGTAAAGTATTTTGAGTTGAGCTATAAGTAATGTGATGCATATTTACAAATTTAACTGTCACAGCCATTACTTGATAGCTAATTGTTGCCTTCAAGTCTCCAGAGACGGCAAATGACACTGGCCTGAATTCTACAACTTGCTGAACTCAACCCTTAAACAGTGTTAAAAACAGTACTGCTAGATGAAGAAGATTCAACGTCCAGTTTCCTAGAGCCAAGGTTCCCATTGGCACAGGGTTTTCGGTGAATAGTGGTATTTCAGACCATAGAATGACTTTGTTCTGATGAGCACTTTGCTTCTCCCCAGTCCTCCCCCTCCCCTTCCCCCGCTTCCCCCACTCCTTCAATTCTAACATATTTTTTTAGCAGTCAGTATTTTGGGACTCATCAGAAATGTAAACCATTACACCATCTGAAAGTAAGGAATTGCAGCTTTCAAATGATATAAAATATGCATGTCTATTTCTAGTAGTTCATAAGGCTCTGGCTGTTAAAAGCATGATGGATTCAAGTTAGAACTTCCCTCTCGGTGAGACGTTAATCACCATGTCCTGATTTTAAGGTGCACTCCTTCAACCCAACTGGGCATGGTACTAGAGTGGTTAAGGCATCTTGCTCATGCACCGGAGTGCTGAGTTCCGATTTTACTACAGGCACCTGCTAAAGGACAACCCCAGTTAACTTTGAACTCTTGTATTGTATTGGCCTAGAAACTAATATGCCTTAGGCAAGCTGGACCTGTATGAAAAATGTGGGGTTCCCAGTACATCCTGATAGTCTCCCCTCACCTCCCATTTTGGAAACAGGAAATAGTCGTCTGATTTTACTCCCCTCCAACGCCCAGGCCCCAAGCTTGGGGGCCTGGTACAACTGTACCCCTACTCCCCACCTCTCATAGGCCCTGTCTAAGCTCTGGTAGACCTCCGACCTTTCATGCCAAGGTTAGCACTGCTGTGGTAAGCCCAGTTCAAATGCTTATAAAATTTCCTCAATATTGCTCTTATGCCTGTGACTGAAAGGGAGGGAGAAAATCAGACTTCTTTCAAAAAGACTTTCCAGGATGCCCAACCAGGAGCCACTAAGGTCCAACACAGCAATGTCCCAGGAGCATGAAGATCACACCTCATAAACTCTATATACCTACTATGTACAGAATGATTGTATACTTCTCTCACCAGATCCACAGCTGATGTGAACTGATATAGCTTTACTGAATTCAAGAAATCTGCACTGATTTACATCAGCTGAGGATCTGGCCCCTCAAATGTAAGAGGGCCTGAAGCAGGGTACTTATAAGTGCCAACATGTATTTTACTCTCTATTTAAGTAGAAACAGACCTGATATGTGAAGTTCAGGTATGGATCCAAAATTACTGAACATGGGAGAGGGTTCAGATCTAGTTTTCTGGCTTAGCTAATTCACTAAGGTAGGCCAGAGCCGCAGCATTTGGACCCAGACACAGATCTGAACCTCTAGCAAAATCTGAGGGGTTCATGCTAGAGCTCTCTAACATTGGGAAAGGATGGGAGCTGTTATTGTAGTGCACTGCCAAGTCTAATGCAGAGAAGGCATTTTTATAGCTTTTTTGCATTTCCTGCAGTGGGAGCTGAAAGAACATGGAATGATCTGGGACTGGTAATATGTGGTGCTGTGCCTCAACATGTCCAGCTGAAAAGTCAATGGGAGCAGCAGATCTTCATGACTTTAAAAACTGAACCCATGATGTATAAGGACTACAGCTTTTCCACGTACACGGAAATGTATGTGTGCTAGAAAAGTGTTAAGGAAAACAAAACATGTTTTCTTTACATATTTGCCTACGTTCAAAGCAGAGATGGGCAAACCTGACCGAACTGGGAAAAGCCATTCAGAAAAGCTTACAAAAGTCCAGCTGCTTCTCTAAGCTATCCAAACCTGCACAGGAAAGCATAGTGCTCATCAGAACAAGTTACCACATAACTCCTTTACAAGTGGGGCAGAAATATGGGGGAAACAGGAGATTTGGCTGAATTTCAGCTCTTTGTTTAAGATCCCTGTCAAAACAAAGGAGTGCCAAAGCATACCAGTTATGGAGGAAATAAACACACAAGACTTAACCAAACTTTTTTTGACCTTCCAAAATTGTTTGTACTTCAAGTTCAAGTACATACTTTAAGCCAAAATTGTTGGTCCCTCCCTAAGTGAAACCTATATAGATAACTGAAATCTGTATTGAGTATTACTACTATGAAGCAGGGAATGGATCAAAAGCCATGGTTCATGCCTGTACCACAACCTTTGTGCTTCGGGGGACACCTACACTCAACCACACACCCTCCCCACCTGATCTCACTTGTACTGGCCAACCTTGGGAATGTGGCAGTGAAGCCACCCTGGGGGCATCTCCAGCATGTTTGACAGCAGCTGCACAAGTGACCCCAGAGTACCTTCACCACAGCATTTCTGGGTGTGATGCAGAGCATGCTTATCCACCAGCTCCCTCCGCAGCACAAAGGCTGAAGTGGAGACATGCCAAAGGAGGCTGAAGTATTTTATAGCGTTTTTCCATACAGCTGATATACCACAGGTAGTGGGAAAGTAAGTGTACTCATTGCCAGGGCAATGTTCCTCACTTCCTATGAGGGTAAGGATGATTGAGTCTCCATGGCCTCTTTGCTGAGACTGTAAAGCATCTAGATATATAAATTTCTGTCACTGGCCTTTGATTGTACCCTCACTCACAGTCCACATCGGCTACCAATGTAAAGCTAAAACATGCTTAACTATGTTTGAAGCAGTGATCAAGAGGTGAAAGGTTAGAATATCCCATTACATATCCCTTAAACCATGCACTGTGCATTTTTATTCAATACCTTAACATTTATCTCGCCTCTTTCTTCAGGTTCTAATAAGAAAAAGGAACACAACACACACAATGCCCAATTTCCATTTACAGACTGCCCTTAAACCTCTTTTCAAAGAAAATTTGGTGCAGCATTAAAGTTCTGTCTTGTCATGCAATGCACATGTTCCTTGCGCTAGTTGGGTTGATAGTGAAGAGGCCACTATGAGAAGAAGAGAGGCAGGAAGGCTGTCAATCACTCAACAGGACCCCCCACCTCATCCCATAAAGAGGACATACTGACAGGCTCCAAGAAAAGTCCGAGGCATTTTTCGCTGGGAAGATGCTGCCTGTGATGTGGAGCCTTGACCTGAGTTGGGAGAAGGAAACTAAAAATGCAGTGGTTCCAAAATACACTTTCCTGCTAAATCTGCTCAGTTCAACCACTAACTACCAAGAAACCTTCAGAGAGATGTTACTTCTGCAACTGACAGAAAGATCTCTTCTGCCATCCCAGGTTACTTCTGCATTGAAACAAGGACTACGTTCACTTACTTGCAAGACAGCTGATTAATCCCCTCGATGTAGTAGCACACCCCACCATTGACACAATAGGACTTGGCGGTTTCATTGCATTTTCTGGCATGCCCAGACCAGGATGAGAGTGTGGTGGTTACTGTAGGGAAATAAAAAAAAAAGGTATATTTTTACTTTCTTTGCCCTAAATTCTTCTTTCTGAGATGGTGTTTGTCTGCCAGAGTTAAAGCCCCTAGAGCCACAATTCTCAACCTGTGCCTTTAGACATATAACCCTGGTTTCCAGGAGCCCACATATGGCTCTCAGAGTCCAGGAGTTTGACTGAACTCTTCATGTGTTGATCACAGCACTTCCCTTATGCAGAGTGTGGAGTTCTCAGCAACTTTCCACCCAGATGCCAGGAACTGGTATTAAGTGGAAGTCACCTTCTTATTCCTTCTTGGCATCAAGGCAGGGTGGATGAGAGGGAGAAATACATGTTTCTGCACACATACACACAACCTCTGCAGCAGTAGCCAAAAAGCAAGCTATCAAGAAAGAGAGAGAAAGAGAAAATGTGTAGCTGAAACAAAGGCTGACCCAGGGGTAAACATGACACCCCCTGGTGGCTATTCAGCCCTTGCTTTACCCTGATCTCCCGCTTTGGTTCACCTGCCACACCTTGATGTCCTTGTACCATTAAGGAAAGGGAGGCTGCCCCAGGGATTCCTGAGCAAACTCTCATCTGCTCCTGTCCTACTCCTGGGTCTGAGTCTGTTCTGCCTCTGGCCTTGAGCCCTCCCTAACTCTCATCTCCACACTATTCCCAGGTACATAGTCCTCCCTGGGCACCAGACCCCTCTGGTCCCCCGCCAGGCACTAGACCCACTCTGCTCTACTTTTCCGCTCTACGCAGCATTGGTGAGGCTGCAGCTGGAGTACTGCATCCAGTTCTGGGCGCCGCACTTCACAAAGAATGTAGAGAAGCTTGAGTGAGTCCAGAGAAGAGCCACGCATATGATTAGAGGCCTGAAGAGCAAGCCATATGAGGAAAGGATGACAGATATGGGACTGTTCAACCTGGAAAAGAGAAGACTTCAGGGTCATTTGGTGGCAGCTTACAAAAATATCAGGGGAGAAGTTCAGTGGCTAGGTGAACAACTATTTACCAAAGCACCCCAGGGAAAAACTAGGAGCAACGGTTATAAACTCATAGAAGAAGGTTTCAGACTGGATATAAGGAAAAACTTCTTCACGGTTGTGTGACCAGACTCTGGAATAGACTCCCAGTGGGAGTTGTGCAGGCACCTACCCTGGAGATCTTCAATAGGAGACTGGATGCACGCCTTGCTGGGGTTTCATAGATTCATAGATTCATAGATTAAGGGTCGGAAGGGACCTAGTAGATCTTCTAGCCCGACCCCCCGCCAGGGCGGGAGAACAACAAAAACCCCAAAAAGAGAAATGGGACTCAAACGAGTCCAGCTAGGTGGGCATCCAGCCTCTTCTTAAAGACCCCCAGGGTAGGGGCCAGCACCACTTCCCTTGG